GCTGTATGAAAAGTGAATTTACTCTGTAAATCTTCACCCAAATCCTAATAAAAAAAAAAAAAGCTATCTCAGGTAGCAGATGGGCTGATGAAAATGGTAATCAGAGTTTATGTTTTAAGTGTAATCTTACTAAAGTAGCCTTCTTCATTATATAGATATTTGTCCAAGGAACCAGATGGGCAGGGAACCCTGATCTTTACAGAATGCTGAATACACTGGGTTACATCTTTTAGTACTTCAATCCTCCAACATGATTTTTTTCTATTTTAAAATACATCTCATTTTTTCTAAAATTTTATGGCACTGATAACTCATGAATATAATTTACCAAATAACTACAAATAACATGTCAATCAAATTGGAAATATAAAAATGAAATCTCCATGCAAATAAATTTAAAAAAAAAAAGTATGCTGAATGGCTTTTTTGAATGGATTTTTTTCTAGAGAATTAAAAACAATTCAGGCTGTTATTAAATCAAAATAGCCTAAATTTTAAATCTAGCCTTTGCACTAAAAGCACTCACACAAATCACCATTCTAACAATACTCAGTTTACCTCTCCCAACAGAGGAAGAACATACCCTAAACTTCTGTACAACCTAGAGGATGTTGCCACTAAGGTGAATGAAATTAATATGTGGTACAACTGGTTTTCACCATATTACAATATTAATAGGCCTTCCTGGTTAGAGAACAGTTTTAATATCAATATGAGGAATTAAAGTTTGGATTGTTGTTGTTGTTGTTATGTGCCGTCGAGTCGCCCCGACTCATAGCGACCCCTCCTTGGGTTTCCGAGGCAGTATCACTACGGAAGTAGGATTGCCCAATCAAAAACAAAAGGTCACACACACAAATTTAATTCTTTTAGTAACAATTTATCTACTGTTAAATTTGTCAGGATTTAAGCCTTTAAAATAGTACTATTTCAAATCACACAAGCAGTTATATTTGGATACGTTAAGGAGTTATTGTAGTTTTACTGAGAGTGACTTAAAGTTCCCACTAAAAATAATTGGCACCTCAATGAAGCTCTAAGAACTCCATGCCTACTTCACAGATCATTGCACTGTTTGAAACTGGCATTTGGAGATTGTATTGAGCTAGCTACATGAAAGTAAAGAGAGCGTATGGGGGAGGGAGAGCTTTTATAAAAAGAAAACACTATCCCTAACACACCCATCACCTATAAGCAAGAGGTGTCAGAAACACCATTTTAAAATGCACACTAATCTAATTTTCAGGAAACCCAAGGAGGGGTCGCTATGAATCGGATCCGACTCGATGGCACTGAGTTTGGTTTTTTGGAATCAAATTTTCCAACACTTCAAATAAAACAAGCAGATAATCTACAACAAGTGATCATCCTACCCCTTTCACACCCCCACATAGTGCTTTGCCAAGAGCACAAGCCCAAGTAAAATAACCGATGCAATTTCCTTGTTTACTTAAAAGAATTGCAGAAAACATGTTGACAGCTTCTAAATCAATTTCCAATATTTAAGAGTTTTCATGATCATGTTTGAAATATTAATTTAAATTTTAATTAAAAGGGTTAAATTTTACTCTACAGTTCACCAGCATGCCTTGTTCCTAACCAGAAGGAAAAAGGAAAAAAAAAGGGAGGGGGCAGTAAAATATACAAGATGGAAAATATCACTACCTCCTTTAGTGGTTATGAATAATTTTAAATGAGCTAAGACGTAAAGAAAGAGTTCATGAACAGAAAGAAAGGGGCCCCTTCCAGATTCATACTGATGTCGGAAAGGAGATGGAATTTATTTACACTGCAGTGCCTGGCAGCAAACATGGCTGCCCCTGCCCCCTTTAAATCGGAATATTCTTCACTCCCTCACCAAAACCATCAAATTATGGCCCTGTCTCTCCCTATCTCCGTACCATAACACAAACACATCTCCTCCTCCTCCTTCAAGCAGCAAAACCCACACCTCCCCATTTCACAACAATCGTAACATCATAACCACGAGCTTCTCTATTCTTTAGCCTTGAACGAAAAGGCACAGAATACACACAAATATAGGAACAAAAGGCTTTCTCCGTCCTAACACTCTTAACAATCCCCATCCCCTTCTTTTCGTCCCTCTCTTGATGCATGGTCAATCGTTATCATCCCTCTCATCATTCAGTTAATTTCCTTCCTTATCACAATCCTATGCCTTTCAGTTTCCTGAATCTATTTCCTATCTTCGTATTGCATCCTCTCTCAGTTCTCACCCTTTTTCCTAATCTACGTTCTCCTCCACTTCCATTCCCTCGTGTCTCCCGTGACTCCCATTAGATACCCCATTTCTCCATCAAAATCTATACCGTCCTCCCACACTCTTGCAGTTTCCATATTCCCTTCCCAAACCTCTCCATTTCTGTTCACCCAGATCTCTAAAATCATCTTCTTCAGACCTAACTCCCCTTCTCCCTTTCCCTGTCCCTCCCCCTTTCCCATCTTTATCCCCGCCCCCATCCCACCTCTACTCCCAATTCCCAGTCAGAGCTACTCCAACTCACATCCCAATCCTACCTCTGCTGCCCCACCCCCAAATCCTTTCCACACCCCCACCTCGACATCTGCTCCTCCCTCTAGACTCCCCTCTAAACCTTTCAGGCCACCCATTTCCCCTCCCATCCTAGCCAGGGTCTCTCTTCCTCCCACTGCCCCATTCCTAGGTTGCCCCCTCCCTATCGCTCCCTTCTCAGCTCTTCCTTCCAGTACGTACGTACACACACACACACACACACACACACTTTACCTTCAGTTTGTTCCATTCTAACCCCCCGGCCGTGTCTGTACGATCACAGGAGAGACATGGAGGGCCAAAGCGGGGCCGGGTTGCGCGGAACCGCCGGGGCCGCGTGGGGAGGAGACGGAATCAGGCTAGGCCGCATGAAATGCCTCGGCTAGATTTCCCCCGCGCCGGACGCCTCAGCCATGGCGGCCGGCATCGAGGAGGGCCACGGCCGGACAAGGCCGGGTGTAGAGCGGGAGAAGGAAAGCTGCGGCGGTGGGGAGGGAAGGGGAGGTGGAGGATAAGGGGTCGCGCGCAGCCGCTATTGCCAAAGAAGAGCCTGTGGCTAGCGCGGACCGGGACAGCAGGGTCCTCAGGGCTCGACTCCTCCTTCACACGCCTCTCTGCTGCAACCCGTGGATAGCCCCCCTTAGCCTCCGCCTCAGTCTTGGCCGCCGCCCGCTCCCGCCGCCACCGCCGCCGCTACCGCCACCGCCGCCGCGCACAAAGCCCCCCCACCCGTACTCTCGGGGCGCCGCCACCGCCGCCAAATCCTCGGCCCCTAATTGGCCGCTGGTCGCGGCGCTTGCCGGGAAATGCAGTCCCAGGTTTGGGGCGCAAGCGGGGCGGGGGAGCAAAGGAGGAAGAGGCTAGTCAGCTAGGCGGAGAGGAGGGGCAGGAGCGGGAACCAGAAATGTGAGCGGCCCCAGTCTAGACGAGAAATGAGACCGCAGGCGATAAAGGCAAAGACAGGAAAGAATGAGGCAAAAGAGAGTAACAAAACAAAAAACTGAAAGACAGAAAAGACATCGTAAATATTGGGCCGTGAGGTAAAATTGTGCTCGTGCGTGTTCTTTGATACTTATTACGTAACAGCACATATTAAACACCATATTCAACTTCTCAGAGTGCTGCTCAATTCCTAGATGTTCTAAATAACCTAAAAACGGGTATCGGTTAAGATGACCAGAAAAAAAAGAATTTATGTGCCTCCTTGGATGTCTTCTGTCCAACAGCTGTCAGAGAAGACTCCCTAATCTACATTTGTCTGTATCTGGAAACTATTGTACTATTTTAACACTTAAATCCTGAGGGAGCAATCTCCCTTTCAGCCGTGGATGTGTCAGATGGTTCCCCCGATGGCAATATAGTAGGCCGGGGTGGCAAGTCAGGCTTTTCAGGAAGCGCCAGGACCTCGGTTGTAGGTACCTTCCTGCTCTTACTGCGGCCCCGCAGGCTTGTGGGTAACGGGGTGTACGTCATCGCGGACTGCTTCCCCAACCGCGAGGGATCGAGAGGGCTCAGTGCCGGTCACGTGCCCGGGCCCTCTGCTGTTTTACCAGCCAGACCTTTGCATCGAGGAATGTGAAGGCATTTGTCCTAGACAGAGCTCAAGCAAAAAAGTGACAAAGAAGAGGGACTCAAATTTCTCAGTAACTCTCTAGCCCTCTCATCCTAAAAAACTTACGTAAACAATAGAAGATCCTAGGTGTATGACACAGTGAACTGTCTTTGAGGGAGTGTACAGATTTGATCATATTTGGAGTCTGGTGATAGTGACCTAGAACCTTGCAGCACAGAGACATGAACTTACAAAGGAAAAACCAGAAGCAATCAGATGAGGAAAGTACTTTCAATTTTGAGAATGGTAAAACCATATCGCTACTAAACGTTATATTGTCAATAGACTTTAAAAGTCTGAACTGCTGGATATATTTGTTTCTGATACAAGAAATTCTGGATATTTTTCTTGTTAAATACCACTCAAATACAATATCAAAATAAAGATTCCCGTGGATCAGTTATTCAATATTACTAACCATGTATGAGGAGCTCTGGTAGCATAGTGGCTAAGGCACTTGACTGCTAACCAGAAGAATGACGGTTCAAACCCACCAGCCACTCCTCGGAAGGAAGGTTGGGCAATCCTACTTCTATAGTGATACTGCCTCGGAAACCCAAGGAGGGGTCGCTATGAGTCAGGGCTGGCTCCACGGCACATAACAACAACAACTATGTATGAGGGTGATTATCTTGTTAATGATACAAAATACAATATTGAGAATTAATTAATACATTAATATTACCCATTACTATAATCATTAGGTATTGTTAAACCTATACTTTGTGTAGTACCAAAAGTTAAAAAAAATCAATAAAAACATACTTTTTTTTTTTTTTTTTAATTACAAATACCTTTTTAGAACACAGACAGCTAACAGGGGTCTGATTTAAGCTGATTTAAGGTTGATTCTATCTCCTTAAAAAAGTGGTCTTTATTTCCTTCTTATGATCCTTTCTACCTCCATCCTTCTTCCACCTTCCTTGCTTTGTTGATGAACTGTTGCCCTGACCTGACATCTGAATTTCCCCTTAAGGAGAATCTGATCTGGTAAATAGTCCTCAGGCATTTTATTTTAGCCTACTTCTAACAGTTAGGTCTTGGAAGGAAGGTTGAGCAATCCACTTCCGTGGTGAAACCGCCTCGGAAACCCAAGGAGGGATTGCTATGAGTCGGGTCCAACTCCACGCGACATAACAACAACAAGAGTTATGTTGACAATAAGAGTTTAAAATTGAAGCTATGTCAAATATATGCATAGCCTCTTCCTTTAAAACATTAGAAAATACAGTTGTAATGGTATTTGATTTGTAGCCATAGGTATGGAAATGGCTATTAAAAATAATTATTTACATTTTCAAAACCTAACATCTTCTGAGATTCAGAACATGCTTTCTCTTCTCCATAAGAAATGAGCAGTTTATTAATACAGTAATCTAATACAATTCTCAGAGACAGGATAATAGAGACAATTTTTTTGGTTGGTTGTTTCTCTTTTGAAGATTATTTTAAAAAATTGCTTACATGATAAGTCATTTATCCTGTAAGTCATACCACTGCCAGACCTGATAACAGGAGATGGAACACTTTGCTTTGGCCAAATGGATTTTACTAAGGGTTCTTAACTTCTCCTTCAGAATGGAATTGCTGACATATGGCCATGGTAGAAAACCTAGCTCATTTCTTTCCAAATACTGAGCATCGAATCATTCATCTGGTTTATGAATACTTAATGGTTTAATACTGTGCCTGGTTGTAAGTGAATACAATGCATGAATAAGAATATTTCCTGGTATAAAATGCCTCCCAGGGAACTGAAAGGAATATTTTTTCATCCTTTATGATCTTTTCCAGAAACATAGATACACTCGGTAGTGCAGTGATAAATTTATGAAAGTAACGTGTGAATTATACCTAAACATTAGAGCCATTCTCAATTTACAATTGAGAATATTCAGGGAAGGAAAGGTAAAGAGATCAAGGCTTCGGAGATTTTGTTATTTCTAGTAAACATAGACTTGAAACCTGAACTAGACTTGAAACCTCCAGGAGCAAAATTGGGCATCAGACATGTACAAAGAGACATCTAGTGGCCAAATTGAAAAGTTTTTCCCTCCGTATTGAACAATTCATCCATTTGGTTATTAGCTGATCAATGCTTTATGGATTAAAAGCAGTCTGCAATTCTTACTGAACATTAATACTTTTCATCTTTCATTCTTACAAATATGAAGCCCAGATGAGTAAGGCCTGTGGTCAACTCACATGTTAAGAGAAATATTCTCCTTGAGAAAGTGATTTCTTACTGTCTGTGGTTAGTCAGAATAGACACACTAACATTTCTTGTCTTCTTTCTAGAACCAAATAAAATGGATGAGAAGAGATAACTAGGAAACAAGAATATTTCTAGATTTTTCACTTTCCAAAGATGGCTCAGTTGCCATCCTGCAAACTAAAGTGCCTCCAAACTTGTAGTCATTGAACAGCTACTATTTTAATTCAAAATCATATATATTAAAAAACCAACATTCAAATGACCCTAACAACCACTAACGCCAAAGAGGAAGAAATTGAAGATTTTTTACCAACTTCTGCAGTTTGAAATTGATCAAACATGTAATCAACATGTATTGATAATTATTGGTGATTGGAATGCAAAAATTGGAAACAAAGATGGATCAGTAATTGGAAAATATGGCCTTGGTGATAAAAATGATGCTGAAGACTGCATGATGGAATTTTGTAAGACCAATGATTTATTTATTACAAATATGTTTTCAACAAAATAGATGGCAACTATATGCATGGACCATGCCAGATGGAATACACAGGAATCAGATTGACTACAGTTGTGGAAAGAGATGATGGAGAAACTCATTTTCATCAGTAAGAACAAGTCCAGGAGAAGACTATGGAACAGGCCATCAATTGCTCATATGCAAGTTTAAATTGAAGTTGAAGAAAATTAAAACAAGTCCATGAAAGCCAAAGTATGACCTTGATTATATTTCACCTGAATTTAGAGACCATCTCATGAATAGATTTGACACGTTGAATACTGATGACCTCAGACCAGATGAGTTGTGGGATGACATCAAGGACAATATACATGAAGAAAGCAAAAAGTTATTAAAAAGACAGGAAAGAAGGAAAAGGCCAAAATGGATATCAGAAGAGACTTTGGAACTTGCTCTTGAATGGAGAG